AACAACCAACTAGATCACTACCACATAGCATGGTAAATGCAGGTGGAAGATTCAGAGGGGTGATTCCCGAAATGAGCATTGAAGGCTACCTAAGCCAGAAGAAGAAGAGAGGGTCATGGCATTGCAGACCAAGGGGAAAGCATACACAAGCAAGGTAAGAAGCCAGTGAAAGAAGGTAAGGGATTTATTTTGCTGGGTTACAGAGCACACCATTAGGAAGTCATGAGGGATCTGATTAAAGATGCAGGCAGAGACCAGATTATGAAAGGCCTTGTAAGATGAATTTGTTAGGTTCGGCTGTGAGTAACTTAAATCCAAAATAATAGTGTAAACAAGATAGAGGTTTATTGCTTTGTCATGCAAACCACACTTCTGGGTTGCTGGTGGCTGCTGTGATGTTCCACACTGAGTCCAGGACCCAGACTCCCCCTCTTTTTACTGATCCAAACACAGTTAATAACTAGCATATCACAGGCCTTTCAAATAAAAGTGGTTTTATTATAAAATTCTAAAAATGTGCTTTAAAAGACAGTCATGGGAATACTGCATAAGAAGAAGAAATATATCTTCATGACCCAGACAATCACATAGCATATTTTATATTGTCCATAGAATTAATATTTTAAAAAAACATTCTTCTTTTCAGTTAGGAAGAGTCTTCAGAGCACCATTATTTGAAGGGAAGGTATTCTGCATATCAGAGTTCATCTTTGGTCTGAAATGAAGAAGCAAAATATTTAGAGCCATCAAGAAGTCATACATGAGTTTGGAAGACTTAGTCTATTAATTGTTTTCCCTTAAAGATGAAAGAAGGGGAAAAAAAGCCAAGTTACTGCTATAGACTTAGAGAGTCTAGGACTGTTTTTGGAATCACCCACAGATAGAGTTTCATCAGACTACTGATGCAGCACCTCTATCCCTCTCCCTTCCTCTCTGTAAAAAATCAATAAAATATATTTTTAAAAAATGTCAATATATATTATACTAGAGGCCTGGTGCACAAAATTTGTGCACTTGGGGGTGGGGGTGGGTCCCCTCAGCCCAGCCTGCACCCTCTCGTAGTCTGGGACCCCTCACTCCTTACTGCCTGCCTGCTTGTTGCTCCTTACGGCTCGGCTCACTGCTCCTTAGCACTGCTGGAGGTGGGAGAGGCTCCCGCCACCCCCGATGCTGTGTGCTCGCCAGCCTTGAGCCTGGATTCTGGCTAAGCGGCGCTCCCCCTGTGGGAGTGCTCTGACCACCAGGGGCAGCTCCTGCATTGAGCATCTACCTCCTAGTGGTCAGTGAGTGTCATAACGACCAGTCATTCTGCTGTTTGGTCGATTTGCATATTAGCCTTTTATTATATAGGATTATAGCTATAAATCAGAATTTTATACAATATGCATTCCTTCAAACAAACAAAAAACTATAATCAAAACAACCCCCCCCTACCACACTGTCTTTATACACAACCATGCACACGATTTGAAAATGAGAGACTAGTTTTTTGGTCCTTGCTTTCCTGTAATGCAGCTAGCTGATTCTGAACTAACTTCTTCTTTGGGATCAGTTTGGTTAATCACTAAATGAAATGGATGACCTCTGAGGTCCTTTTTAGCCTGACAAGTCCCTATGTGAATCTGCCTTTTTTAAAAAATATTTTTTATTGATTTCAGAGAGGAAGGGAGAGGGAGAGAGATAGAAACATCAATGTTGAGAGAGAATCATTGATTGGCTGACTCCTGCACGCCACCCCCTACTAGGGATCGAGCCCGCAACCCTGGCATCTGCCTTTGAGCTTGGGACCTTTCAGTTCTCAGGCTGACGCTCTATCCATTGAGCCAAACCAGTTAGGGCTGAATCTGCCTTTTATAAACAAAATCAGGATGTGGTGGTACCAACAGTGACTGCTTTTCATGGATAATTTGCTAAGATGAATAATCATGGTTATATATATTTTTATCACTAAATTCAAATGCCATACGATGTGAATTCTCACATTTAAAAAAGACCTCCGTCTACTTTGCTGGGAGCTCCTACATCTTCTCACTCAACTGTATCTCAGCACCCTTTCTTTTGCCTTGTTATTATCTATTATATCTATCTCTCTAGTAGAATAAATTGCTGGCAGGCTGCAGGAGAAACACAAATTATTATTGCCTGACTGAATAAAGACTTGGATCAAAGTTAGTTGTTACTCTGACATTGGCTAGTTCTGGTTACCTTTTTCCTGTGGCATGTGCAAGGAAAGAGGTCATCCTCGGTCTGCGGTTCTACCCTCTTCATGCCCTCTCGGATTTGGGGCTCACTCACTTGTAAATTGGCATATTCCTGTATAAGCAACAACACAAAAGCATTCCTTACATGATGCTTAGAGTATGTTTACCAAATTAGATATGCTAAAATTTGCTAGAATATGGTTCCATTTAACTCACACGTGTCAAGTGACAATATGCAGGGTCCACCATACTCCCCTTAAACATTCCACAAGAGTTTTTGAGGCAGCTGTCCTTTGGACACTGGCTGCCTATTTCTAGGGGATCTCTCCTTATTCATCTTTTATTTATATGACTTGATTTTTAACTTATTTTGTACTGCCTTTGCATTGCAGTGGGAAAAAAAACCTACACACATAATCTTCCTTAGACTGAGAATTTGAGGACAGAGACTATTTTTGTCTTACCTACCATGGCTTATACAGAATCAGCTACCATCTTCATTCATTATGTGCTCCTTCTGTGACAGGCTCTGGACTAGGTGCTTATGTACTAGTATATGTGAGTTGAGTGAATGAACACTACTACCCTGTAGATCTTCAGGAATTTAGATAGTAAATCCCCCACTCCTTTGGTTTACACCTTCACCCTCTCATCCCTTCACCACCCTCTAGAAGTATTAAAGGGGAAGAGGCCAGTGCAGACCAGAAAAAAGTCTGGCTTTGTCTTGTAGCAGAGCCCAAGATATGGGGCTCAATATCTGCAATTCTGTGATTTGAAAAAAAAAGCTTAATTTATATCTAGTATAATTGTTAGCAAATTACTTGCTTACTACTACTTTTTTTTTTAAAAAAAAGAACCTTTCAAATTCAGATATGCTTTAATTATGATACCTAAATGCTAAGGTCCATGAGAATGATTTCTAAGAGAAATCATGGCTCACATGGAGTCAGTACAACAGTTCCAAACATACCGTGCACTATGTAGACAAAGAAATGGTAAGGCAGCAAGCAGTAATGTTGTGCAAAGAGAAAATATGAATCCATGCATAGTAATTTTGCAGAATCAGATGCCAATTTCCTAACCAAATACCACATAGTTCTAACATTATTACCTTTCCTTTAATGTTGTAGCATTATCCAATAGCTAATCTTTGGTTTTCTTCTTTTTTCAATATTATTTAATGTTTGTCCTTGATTTTCACCCACAGAGGTACATTTATCTCCTTATATAATATACTTTCAGACATTGTTAAGTGAAATGACATTATAAATATTATTTATAGAAATATTAATATATATACATATATAAGTAATACACATAATATTATTTCACTTAACTACTAATATGATCAATTACAAGTTAGATGTCATTTCCTTAGAAAATACTGACCTGGAAAAGTTTAAAGTAATAACAGAATATGTCATCACCCATGAGATTATTTCTTGCAAATTCTTGTCCTGTTTTTGCTATCTTCTTTGCCTACGGGACCAACAACAAAAAAATCCTTTCATGAAACATTTTTTTCCCCATGCAGACATAGGAAAACTGATCTTCAGAGTACATTTTAGTGGGAAAAATATCTTTGGAGTTAGTCTTTCCTGGTACAGGGAACAGTTAACAGAGTATGTTTGTTTTAATTAAAAGGAGGTTTTTAAGACTTGAGAGTTTGAGAAGTCATATTAAACCTTCTAGCATTAAGTCTCTCTTGGAGAGAAAGGGTATACATTAAATGAAGTAATAATGACTTTGTAAAGTAAATGCAGGATTAAGCTTAATGCACTGCCTTATAATTTTTCAGAAATGATTTCAAAGTTTATTTCATGCAATCCCTAATTTTTTAAGCTTGATTTTATTTAAAAAAAATCTTTATTGTTGAAAGTATTATATATGTCCGCTTTTTCCTCCCATTGACGCCCTCCAGCCCACACCCAACCCCCCCTTCCTGCCCCAGGCCTTCCCACCCCACTAACTGCATCCATGGGTTATGCATACAAGGTCTTTGGTTGATTACCTTCCACCCACCCACACTCCCCTTCCTTCCCTCTGAGATTCTACACTCTGTTCTATGCTTCCATGTCTCTGGATCCACTCCGTTCATCAGTTTATTTTGTTACTTAGATTCCATATATGAGTGAAATCATATGATACTTGTCTTTCTCTGACTAACTTATTTCACTTAGCATGATACTCTCCAGGTTCCTCCATGCTGTCTCAAAGGGTAAGAGACTCTGATTTTTTACCAGTGCATAGTATTCCATGGTGTAAATGTACCACAGCTTTTTTATCCATTCATCTACTAATGGGCACTTGGGCTGTTTCCAGATCTTAGCTATTGTAAATTGTGTTGCTATGAACATAGGGGTGCATTCTTTATGATTTGGTGTTTTGGGTTTCTTAAGATATATTTTTAGAAGTGGGATCACTGGGTCAAATGGCAGTTCCATATTTAATTTTTTGAGGAAACTCCATACTGTTTTCCATAATGGCCGCACCAGTCTGCATTTCTACCAGCAGTGTACTAGGGTTCCTTTTTCTCCACATCCTCCAATCCCTCATTTTAATCCATAGCACAGTTAGTTTTCCCTCTATCAGGCTAGCTTTCTTATGTTCCTAGCAGAAGTGAGGGAGTGCTAGAGGCTCAGAGCAACTTGACTAAAAGAGAAAGCATAGTCAAAGCCAAGGTTTAGCTTTTTGTTTCATGTGCAGACTAGACAGTTAAACCAAGCCACAATACCTGTGTTCATCCCGAATGGAACTGGGTTACCCACGGGGGGTCCTATTTATAGGTAAAGGTCTATTCTGAGCCGACTGAACAGACATTTAAAATGAAGCCATGAGCCCGGCCAGCATGGCTCAGTGGTTGAGCATTGACCTATGAACCAGGAGGTCACAGTTCGATTTCCAGTCAGGGCACATGCCCGGGTTGCAGGCTCGATCCCCATTGTGGGGCTTGCAGGAGGCAGCCAATCAATGATTCTCTCTCATCACTGGTGTTTCTATCTCTCTCTCCCTCTCTGAAATCAATAAAAATATATTTTAAAAATAAATAAAGGAGGCTATGGATATTGGGGTACAAGGAGACTGACCTTACCTCTTCATCGTGATCTTTTGCCCAGTTAAGTTTTTCTAAAAGATCGCTCAGGTTGCTTTTAACAGGAATGTAATGTCTCCAGGGCTGCAGCTCATTGTAAAAGTGTTCATAGTAGATGGAGTCCTGCTTCAGCACAACACTGTCGCCGACTAGAAGATATGGCAGGCGATAGGCTGCGACAGTGCCATCCACGTTTATTTGATACTTGTGCTGTGAAACAGCAGTAAAATGTAAGAACCTCTATTACATTTCCTTTTTTTCTATTCTCGTTATTCTCCTCCCCTTTCACACAAAGAGCCTCACTGTCTTCAGATATAAACTGGCCAGACTTTGCCCACTGCTTTCACCATGTAGTAACTGCTATTATATAACGTGCTGCTCTAGAGTTGAAGGCTTATTTTGATGCTCTCCTAAGTTTCACAGACTACAAGTCTAATGTTGACGCAGCCAATAAAATAATAAATAATTGTTGTCCTCAGGCTATAACCTAAAGAAAGATTGATTTATGGTGACTGTAATTTCCCTATTACTTACTTAATCACATGTGAGCACCTGCTGATGGCACATTCTATACCATGTTAACCATACCTTTTAAACATTAGGTGGCCACACACAAGTCTTAAGGAAATTAACAAGCTCTGAGGCAAGTACATCTCTAAATAAAAATATTCATAGCATTGTGCTGATCAATAGTCCTTAGCTCTAGCAAACTCAATAGATAGGAATAAAGCAAAGGCATGACAGAATACCCTGAGGATGGATGGCTGGTATTAGTTCTCTTTGGTTTTAATCATATTTCAAAAATCTCTGTGATATGCGTATGGAAATGACAACTCATGGAATTCTTTAGGTCTACCTGCTGCCATGTGACCCATCAACAACAAAAAACAAACTTGGCCATATACAGCATAGAAAGAGCTCACTAATCACTTGCCTTACCCACCTTTCTCACCACCACATGGGACTTCAAAAACAACTCATTGGTCTAGAGAACAGGGCAGTGTCCTACTGCGTGAAAGTGGAGTTGCTGGAAAAACGCTCACTCCCTGGGAAAGATGAGCAGTACACCTTCTAGCTACAGAAAGAATTCCCATGCAGACCATTTGGATGGATTTCAAGTCATTTCCCCACCAGAGGCCTATTAAGAGACACCTGGTTTATATCTTTTTTAGTCTGTTGTCAAGCTGTGGCTCTGGGAAGAAGTATTTGTAAAACCACTTACATGTATCTATTAATAAAAAAGATTTTTGAGCTGAAATGTATTATCTTGGGGGTCAACTGGGGTGAAAAATTATAGCTCTCCCTCGGCCTCAAGCTCCCTGATACATATTTAATGTCAGGGTTGGGTACTGAGTACAGACCCAGGCTGCCAAACCAGTCCCTGGGGTCCCATGCCCTGAGAGTCACTGAGTTTAATGCTCATCTCTCCCATCCCTGTAAGTTATAGGCCTCAATTTCTCTCCCCGAAATGAAGATACAGTATTCCCTTGAACAACATGCGGTTTAGGGACACGGACTCCCCCGCCCCATCTCCAGCACTGTCAAAATCATGCATATAACTTCTTCTTTCTCCTTCTTCTTTTTTTCTTTCTAACTTTTGATTCCCCCCAAACAGTTGTCCCTTTGTATCCATGGAGGATTGGTTCCAGAACCCCCACAGATACCAAAGTCCACAGGTGATCAAGCTCCTTATGTAAAATGGCAAAGATCAATGCACATAGCTGGCCATCCGCATCCATAGATTCCCACCCTCGCGTAAAAATACTGTTTTTGATCTGCAGTTGACTGAATCTATGGATTCAAAAGCAGGAGAAATAGAGGGCTGACTGTATATTGAGAAAAACCAGCCTGTACATGGGTCTGTGCCGTTCAATCCCATGTCGTTCAAGGGTCAACTGTATTTGGAAAAACAAAAAAGGATTGGTCACAGATGAGGCCATACCTTGAAGAAATCAAAAAATGAAATGTGTTTCACAATGGGACCATAGAGGCTTTCATCGTGTTTAAAGAAGAAAAAGTTGGTGAAGGCAGCATCTATGAGCTCTGGGTGTTTTCTGCTGAGTTTAACCAGCTCAAGTCTCTCTTTTCGGCTGTCTCGGCCTCTCCAGACAGCTGTGGAGTTTTTGCTTTCCCAGGGAGGACCCGTGTTAGCTTGCACAGACATCATATCCAGACTTACTCTGGAAGACAGAAAGTACAACACATTTGCCCTCCAAACCATCACATCACAAAGGTTGTTGGGAAAGAACTCACCAAGGGGGGAAAAAACCAAGGCTCTGGGTCATGTGTGACCCGTCTCTCACCGGCCCATGGTTTCTAGAACAGAGTCCGTCAGGTCGTAGGTGGGCATCACGATATCCTTGGAGTCTGTGGAGCCACACCAGGAAAAGATCGGATGAATGTGTGGACTGGATTTCTTTTTTTCCAAAGGCCAATCTCCCAAATTAACAAAAAACTCCACATCAGGCATCCTCACCTAGGACAAAGAAAAGAGCTTACTAACACGTCTGGCCTTGTATAATGCCTTCTACTGATCAATGTGTGTCCTTGTAAAAAGAGGTGAGGACATACAGGGACAATGGCTTGTGAGGACAGAGACTAGAGCGATGCAGCTGCAAACCAGGGAATGCCAAGCACTGCTGGGCACCACCAGAAGTCAGGAAGAGCCGAGAAGGGTTCTCCTCTGTAGGTTTCAGAGGAAGCACAGCCCTGCTGGCACCATGATTTTGGACGTTTAGTCTCCAGAACCGTGAAAGAATAAATTTCTGTTGTCTAAAGCCACCCAGTTTGGAGTAGTTTAGTACAGCAGCCCTAGGAAATTAACACAAGCACCCCACAAGACATAAAACTTCAGAACAGTATTAAAATAAGGCCCATATAGGACACCTCTGATATAATTATTATTTTTAGTTTGAAAAATTATATTTTAAAACCTGGGCTTAATTACAGGGCTGACTGTATATTGAGAAAAGAAATTTATATTTTACATAAAAGAAATACTTACTTTTCTAGTCAAAGAAAGTAGTATGGCATCCATGAAAATTCTAAAACCTACATGTTCACCATGAGTCTTGATATACACCTGAAAGGTAATTGAATGTTTATTACGTTAGACTAAAAGTACTGGCAGGCTTCTCTGAAATAAAGGTTATCAGAATGATCCTCAGAATGATTTTCAGTAAAGCTAGCTGTAGCCAAACGGTCAAAATAAAAAATCACTAAGACAGACAAGCAAACCTCACGCACAAATTGTACCTTGTTATCCTTCACGGTATAGTGGCACAAGCTCTGCCTCTGTCCAAATCTCTTTGGGATTTCTTCTGCAATCTTTTCTGGATCAACAGTAGGGAAATGCACCAGGTCTCTCTGAATCTGAGCGATGGTTTCTGGGCAGTTCATCTCCTGTAGCCAGGCGGCACTATCTTCCGAAGGACAGTCACAGTTCTCGTGGTAAACCGGCCCTAATTACACACAAGCAACAAATTACACAATCATAATTTCACTCAGCATTTGAAACACGTAACAAATATCCATTATCCACAATCGACTTCACAGATTTTGCCGAGGTTATTAGGAAGGGTATTTTGTCTTCTGTTCTGACAGCTCTTCACAGTCAGGTCGTGATATTTTCACAGTCAGGCCTGTTTCGCACGAGTTCTAAAGAAAGCCAATAGCAACTAATTTTTGCTCACAGTGGCTATTATAGTCCATTATTTTTTATGTTTTGTGTACTTAAAAATAAGCAAACATTGGTAAAAATATATCAAAGGAGTATGTCTTTTTTTGATGAAAGACAAAAGTGATATAAAATTAATACTTCAATGATCTCTTATAAAAAGTTTCTTAAAGTGTCTAAGGTATTTTTCCTCAATGAGTAAATCACCATCAATAACAATATAAGTAAACAAAGAACCATTACTATGTTTGTTTGTTTTAAGAATCATACAAAAACAAGAGCAATCTTCAAAATAGTTCATTCAGCCCAGCTGGTGTGGTTAAGTGGTTGAGCATCTATGAACCAGGAGGTCATAGTTTGATTCCCATTCAGGCTCAGTTGCAGGCTCAGTGCCGAGTAGGGGACGTGCTGGAGGCAGCAGATCAATGATTCTCTCTCTCCTCCTTTATGAAAAAAAAGTTCATTCATATTGTAATTAATTAATTATATGTTTATAGAAATAATACTAACAAAATATAGCAGAATCTGAATTGAGATTTTACTGTCATTCTATAATTTTCAGATTCCCACCTGATCCAGGCAGTAGTCAACAATGGAATATTTTTTAAGGTTTATATTGTACCATGTGGTCCTGGTGGAATGTGGGAAATATTTTTAAAACATTTGCCTTTATTGGAGGTGGGGAACAAGAAGAATTTGTGTCTCTGTATATACATTGCTTTTCCACTGTGTTAGGGTACTATCTCCATTGATATGGAAAGATATGGCTCTAGGTAATGCAGCTGCAGTATATATATATGTAAATTTCTCCTGAAAAATACTATTGGAACAAAAAAACCCACAACAACAGTTAACTTCTCCCCTTTGCTTCAAGCCCTTTCTCTTCCTGAAGTGGTCAAATTTCAATAGTGCTTATCAGTTACTTCTCACATACCTCCAATTAAGTAAGTGTAATCTATGACCATATTGTATATAGCTTGATTATTCTTGTTAATGTGTGTCTTCAGGAAACAAATTCTCTATTAGTATGTTCTTCTCTTATCTTTTCACCTGGAGAAGATGTGAACCTGTGATGGGTAGAGGAATAATATAGAAAGATTATTTTAAGGAACATAATGCACAAAGATCATGCTGTCCAGTCTGTGAATCTTACTCTCCTCCTTCACGTTCTCCCCCTAACATACACTGTCTTCTCTGTTATACTTTGAGTGTCAGAATGAATCTGATGGATCAGAGATTTTAAAAAGAAGAGGATGCCAATAGCCAAGATAACATAAAACAGTTTCATTAGAAAATTGCAAGGGAATATGTTACTAAAACTAATCTATGTAAACGTAGAATGTACTTACGCATTTCATATATAAAAATATTCCTATCAACCTACTATTTATTTTATGTCCATCACATATGGAAATTTGTGATCAAATAGTGCCTCTAAAAATAGTTTGAAAAATCTCTCCCAATGGTTCTTTTAAAAATTAGTATTACAGCCCAGGTCAGTGTTTGTCAGTGGTTAGTCAACCCATAAACAGAAAGGTTGCAGGCTCAATTCCCAGTCAAGGGCACTTACCTGGGTTGCAGGTTCCAGCATTCAGGAGGCTCCCTTACATCTCTCTTCCCCTCCCTCCCTTTTATTCTCTCAAAAAAAAAAAAAAAAAAAGGAAAAAATATCCTCAAGTGAGGATTAACAACAAAAATTATAAATCATGCCCAGCATGGGCAAGAGCCAGTAGGTAGTGTATCATTTAAGTGACACCGTATGAAAGGTTTTTTTGAGTGAGTGCTCTTGCTCTTAAGATTATATTTAGTTTCTCCAATTATACTATTTAATATCTTTTATTTGCTTTGGAAAACGTATTCCCAAGGTTTTTTTTTTTCTTTCCTACAAAATATACATGGTGAGCAATTAAAAAAAGACAATCATTTCAAAAGTATGTGAATTCTAGACATAAGTTTTGAGTATAATTTCAATTGTCGAGTTCAATGGAGTGAAACAAACGTTTGTTGCGAACACATATACTTTCCCTCTAAACTCTAAGGTTTCAAATAGTGCTTGATTATTCTTTTTGAGTTTCAACGCACGTTTATCTGCAGATGTGCACCTGGAAACGGAGGGCAGCACCAAGGAAAAATGAAACCAAGTTTCTAACAACTGGATCCAAAGTCCTTATTACAGGTTAGGCAAAAGTAGTTTCTCTAGTTACGTGGGAATCCCTATGAAAATAGCTAGGAGAAGAGCTCATTCAGAATTATTTCGAAAGCTCTGAGAAAGATTGGTTGGAACGGAGAAAGACAGTTACAACCAGATGTGGATAGCACCCAAATATCCTGAAATTTAAACTGCTGTGGAGAAAGGAGTTCGTGGGCGGATAAAACTGGAAAGAAGTAGCAGTAAGCTTTATCTGCATTCCAAAAATAGTTAGGCAGCTGTTTCTCAACTTACTTATTTCCGGATGTATCCACCGCCTGAATATAGAAATAGCGCGCAGGAAGGACAACAGCGGCTTTGAGCCCTGGTCCCCATACTTCACTCTTCTCTGGGCTCAGTCGCCTCTCTCCGCCGGTCTCAGCAAATGCTGGAACTGTCCCCAGAAAGAAGTAGTAAAGCAGCAAAACGCTAAACATTTACGAGACGGACTATCAAATAATCCACGAATAAATGAGGTATCGAAGATGGACAGAACGAGCTGTGGTTCGGGTAAGGGCACGTTGGCCGATCGCAGCAGCAAAAACGGCTCCCAGAGGTGTGGCTTGCTGTGCAGGGCAAGGCGCGCGGGTCTCCACGTTCCCCGGGAAAATCACAACCGCAGCGCGGGCTTGTGCAGCTGAAGGACAGTCGTTCTGCTGAAACGGGCAAGAGCCGCCCTGCTCCTCTTTCTCGGGACAACGATAAACTTGCTTTGCTCCTGCAACTGGAGCATCATTGGGGCGAATCCGTCTCAGGTTCCAGTCCAAGGTGCCCGGCGAGGGGATTGGCCGCGCGCGTCGGGCGGGCTGAGTAAGGCTTTCTCTAAGTGGATGGTGGGTGGACACGCGTCCCGGCGCCATGGCTTCCTGGGACGTGTAGTTCGCGATGGGACCAGCGGAAATCCTGCCAGGTTTTCCCATCTCTCACTCATTTATTTGTTTTGTGGTCAGGGCTTCCAGGGAACAGATAAATACCACATCTCCGATAGAAGGGCACGCGGGCCTGGAGGCACAGCTGATTTTTTTTCCTTTGAATTGTCACCATATCCTCCGCACCTGCAGAGGTCAGGTGTAAAACACGATGAAAGGAAGGTTTGTCAATGATATCCTGAGATATCATTGATATCTGATAGTGGTCTCCGGGCACAGCCATCCAGGGCGCTGTCCCCCAGCTGCCCGATGGGACGAGAGACGCCAGCCCCAGGGTAACCCGAGGAGCGTCGCAGGCCGCGCGCGGGAATCGGTGATTGGGCTCCGTAGCGACCCAACCCCACCGGCCAGGCTGAAGGTACCGGGGCTATGGGCAGAACCAAAGTGGCTGTCCGCGGCGGTGCGCCCTGCGCGCGGGGGTCTTGTGGCAGGAACCCGGGCGCCGCGGGCTGGGCCTGGCGCGGTCCGCCTGTTCTAGGTGCCGCCAACTCCGCTGGGCGGCCAAGGGCCGTGGGGCTCTCCGGACCCCGGGAGCGGTCCAAGTGGAGGTCACTGCGTCGGTACTCGTTCTCCTGGGAAAAGTGGAGTGACGAGCGGGGCCGCAGGATGGAGGGAAGCGCCACGTGTGCTCTCGGGAACAAAGCCTGATTTGGAGCGGCCCCCGAGTATACCGGTGGCTAATGCCAGGAGCCCGTGTGTCTCCCAGCCACGCTCTATAGGGCCGGGTCCGGAGCGCGCGGTGGGCATCCCTTCGCCCCTGTGCGCCCACCGCGGGGCCTAGGTGGTCTCCAGGAGCCTCCTCCTCGTCCTCCCTCCCGCTCTTGACCTTGCCAGCTGCCCCGATAACCCACACGGGCCGGCGGCCCCGACAAAGTGGGCCTGGGTGGGGGGTTCCTTTTCTGCTTTCGTTTTGGTGTTTGTCCTTAGTAATGATCTAAACTCGTGCATTCCAAAGCTCGAATCCGGGGATCTCTCCGCCCGGGTACAACTGCTCGAGTTCCACCAGCCCAAGCGCCTAGAGCACCGGGGCGTCCTGGGGCGGGCAGGAGACTCCCCCTGGCCGGAGGCAGAGGGAGGGGCGCGGACAGGGGGCGCAGCCACGCTTTTTCCTCTCGGCCGGCGCCGTGTCCGCCCAGACCCGCTCAGCGCTGCGGGCCTCGGGCTGCGCGAATGTCTTCTCTGACCCGGAGGCCTCCAAGCCCCCTGCGCTGCTAGCTTGGCAGAGGAGGGCGGTCGGAACACCGCTCGCCTCCCGGGGAGCCTGAACTCGACCCTGGCCAGTAGCGGGAGGACCCCCGGTATCCGTCATAGGCCGGCCCTCTGTCAGGCGAGTGGTTCAGGTCTGATGGAGGAAGAGGGGCCTGGGGTCGTGGGGAAGGATGCGAGTGGGGAGGGGGCGGTCGGGGGTTGAGGGCAGGAGACCAGAAGCACGGGGGCTTAGCGTGTGTGTGTGTGTGTGTGTGTGTGTGTGAGAGTGTGTGTGTGAGTGTGTGTGTGGTCGGGCCCTCCAGCATTCCACCCTTTGTAAGGCATTTACCTATGCCTGTGTCTCAGTGGCCTTCCTTAGAGAATATAGATCATTATAGTTGTCATATGTGGGAAGCTTTTCTGAAGACTTAAGATGTTAAGTTCTCTAAGCAAACTTGATCCTTAAAATACTGATTAAAATATAACTGGAAAAGAATGCAACCTAGGCAGTGAGTATTCTTAGAAATGGAACGTTTAGTTTGCAAAACAGTTCAAATCGTTATTTTAGCGGTGTATTTATGGCTGGCCATTTTATGATAACATTTTGTTTGCATACAGTTAAACAGTAACTTTTGTTGCTTGTGCCATGATCTTATGAATAAATCATAACTTGATCATTACATGCTGCAATCATTAGTGAATCTTAATATAGCATCGTCTCGCTTAGATCAGGGAACTTCAATTTCACATGTGAGAAGTAGGGAGAAGAAGAAGAGGCCAGTTAGCTAAAACTCCAGTTCTTAATTACTAAGGCCACTCCTGGTGAGCCCTCCTGGAATCTGGGCTCTTAAGCCTGGGTTTGCAATAATGCCTGACATGAGGTAGGCATTTAAGAATAAGTATTTGTAGAAGATACTTCTATAAATGCTGGACTTGGGAATTCAATAGTCAGGAAAACCAGACTTAC